AGACACACACTACTACTCTCCTCTCTCTCTCTCTCTCTACTACTTACTACTACTACTACTACTACTACTACTACTAACTAACGTAACGTACGTTAACGTTACGTAACGTAACGTACGTAACGTAACGTAACGTAACTAACTACCTACCTACCAAATTAAAACACACACACACACACACACACACACACACACACACACACACACACACACACACACACACACACACACACACACACACACACACACACACACACGCTCACTCTCAGTTCTTCCAACCACTGTCTCAGTCTTTAAGCCATGCCACCATGCTTTCTTTCTTATCCCACCAGGCCGCTGCTGGACTGGATAAACTCCACTCTGTAGATCTGGATGGAACACATGCTCCCTCTCTCTCTCTCTTCTCATCCCTTCCTTACTGATTCCTAAAGCCCAACCTGAACCCAGTAAAGGTTTTGGCAAATGCTATTCTCTTGGAACAACACCACTAACCCCTCCTCTTTCTGTCTTAACTTTCTCCTTTCCTATGAAACTGTGGAAAGAGGTCATCGAAGCCAGTATATCCACACCTCTGGATTCCGTACTCATTCATCACTGAAGGGGAGTGGCTCATTGTGACCGAACAGCTCTGTGTCAAGCATTGTCTTTCTGTTGCTCTGTGGCATGCAGTAAATGACGCCGTCGTTCATCTGTTAGCAAAACGTGACATCGTCTTAAATCAACAATGCTGCTGTACAAATCATTACGTGTTTCTCTTTGAGAGAAGACAAGAAAGACATTGATTGTAAAGTAATCTAAGTATTTCTAGTTAGTAAAAACAGATGAGAAGGGTCATGATTGAAATCTCTTCTATCACAAAAAAAACCCAAAAGAGACCAAAAACATTCTAAATTTTTATCTCAAGAGATTTTTTTTTTCCACATTAAGATTCCTTTTCTTCCATTCACCTGGACAACTCCAGAGCTATTTAAGTGCCAGCGGTCTCTCCAGGATGCAATAACTGTCTGGCACACTCACTCCGACCTGATTCTGAAAAGGCCCGTAGGACCTCAGCGTCAAACACTACTGTTTTCATTGAACCAATTTCTAAGAAAAATACGAGTTGAACAGCACGTGACAAAGAAATAAGTCTCTTAAATGGTGTTAAATAAATAGGACTTTGTACTGCATGACCAAGTGTCTCTGACTTCATGCGAAATGCAAGACACATAGTAACCGATTTTTTTTAGCCATTGCAGATGGCCGTGTTCCCTTTGAAATTATTGGAGTCACTTCTGTAGTTTAATACAATAACCTTTTATCAAATGCCATCATCAGGTCCAAACTGAGCATGTCGGCATGCCAATGATAGCATTTAGCTCACTAACATGGACTCAGAACAATGTTTATTATCTTAATAAAATAGACGTGCTTTCCAAAAAAAAACAGAAAAATGTATTTATTGGAAACTTGTTGGTGGCCACTGACTTGATTTCAGCTATTCATACTTTTCCACATCAATAGAAGAATTGGCAAGCCATCTACGTTCACCATCAGGCTACTGTAGCCGTAACCAGAGTCCACAAGGGGAGAACCTGAGAAAATGTACTAGTGTCAACCTCGTGTAAAATGTCTGACCGAGATCGCTCCATTTCTGTCCGCAGAAACATTGAAGTTGTATGCCGAATAATGATCTATATGATACCGGACGGGGCGAAATCTGGTACAGAGGGAGAAGAAAAACATTGAGCCAGATTCCTGCCATTTAATATCCCATTTAAGGGTAATTTGGCATGAAACCCCTGGCATGTGTGATGGAATTCTACTGCTCCTTGTGTTCAATGAAATTCCCCACAGGCTTTGGATTGTAGGTGTGTGTGTGCGTGCATTCGGTTGTTTGTACTGGATGTGTGCATGTGCTTGTATGCGGCCTGTGAATGGTACATGACTGTGTGTTTTTTCAAGTGTGTGAGTCCCTTTCTAGCCAGAATAAGTGTAGTTTTCCACTGGGGTAAATCTACACTCTCCATCTCCTGCCACGTCTGACTGCCCTCTGTAGTCACAGATAACACTGTGGGCTCAGGCTGCGGCCACAACAGCCAACTGGTCCATTACTGGACTTTTAGCCAATGGGATGATGGTCGCCAGGCACGCCACTTTTGCTTTGACCAATCCCGATCATTTTACAGGCAGGGATTCGTCCAAAGAATGTGCCAAAAGACACTGTTCTGATCTTTCTTTCTAGTTCAAATTCTTTTCCTCCCTTTAGTGAAACTGCTGATATTTTGTCCTTGTCAAAAAGTGGGGAACATTCACAGAGCTTAAATCAGAGTTAGTCTTTTTTCCTACTGATATAACTACAGATTTATGTTAAATCACGGAAACACTTTTCCCTTATTATGAAAACACAATAAAACTATTTTTTAAAAAGGAATGCGTTCACTTCAGAAATATCTGGAATGTGCAGCCACAGGCGTAAAAAACAGGGGAAATGATGCAAACCCGAGCTTAAAATGATCTCTCCCTGCCTCCCTCTCTTTCATTTGCTCTGTCTGCGTCGGCGAGATCAGATGTGGAATTAAAATGTCATTTTCTCGACTTTTCTTTGTTGCGATGCGATCCGAGGGCCCCAGCAGGTGTTCCATCCCATGAGTCAACACCGCCTCGGAGAACTTTCCATGTGTGGATTCAAAAGCTTCACTTGCATGTAACAGAGTAACACTTCTGTAAAAGTGCCAGAGCCCGAGGAACCCAAGAGGGAGACGTCAGTGCCAAGAAATGATATTAACCATAGAGATAAAATAGTTACTCTCTATTAGAAACAGCAGGCCAGCCAGGTGAACTAATCCTTTTTTTGGGGATTTCTCTTATTAAAATCTGGTAAAGAGGGAGTTATAAGTCTCACTTGGTCTATCCATCTCTTTGTTTCTTTCTCCATGTGTGAGCCCCAGCAGGTGCCTCGATGTGAAAAAGCCCGATGTTGGTTCAGGTCACAGGGTTTCAAGTTCTTCGATCAGGAGGATTGTAACCGTCACAGCCGTTCATGCATTTCATACACACACACCCCCACTCTCCTTCACGCTCGGATAATATGAAACACATTTGTCCATAAGACGAGCTTTGAATGAAACACAATAAAATCTCTTCCTCGCACAAAGACCCCGTCTCGTCACTCCATCACCTTCAAATCCACCCCCCCCTCCCACCTCCCCTCGGTACTGCCAAGGCTCTGCAGAAAGTGAAAACATCACAATTGGTTGTGAACAAAGACCCAGTGTTCTCATCTGAAGAACAGATCTGACCTTGATTTTTCACAGCTTAGACACATTTGTAACAACCGTAGTTTAACTGATTTGCAAGTTCACGACACTGCGTTTACAGCGAGGAAAAGATCAGCATCAATAAACCCGCTGTGAAACATTTTGAGGTAGTTCAACGAAAAACAACAAGTTCCTGTGCTGCCTAAGATAAAGAAAACGCATTAGGCTACCCTTGGTGACTGGCTCAACAATAGGGCAGTTTTTCTTCAAACTATGAGAGTTTTAACATTAAAACAATGCATGCTGGGAAGGCTTCTAATATGCTCTTCTTTTAAGCTAACGTTCAGCAAAATGTTGATTTCATTTTTACTTTTGCATACATCAATGTGAACCTAATACAATTTTGAATGAAATTATTATAAATGAGTAGTTAGTTCTACTTAATGACTGTATGTATTTCAGTGACTAATTCATCTTCATTTGCTGCCCTGCCATATATTTCTGTTATTCATTTTGACAAGTTCACAATGTTTAGTCTGGATTGAAATGTCTAATAAAGACTCCCTAAATAAAAACATGTGCTCGTAATAAAGTCCATGAAGCAAAACATTTTTAAATGATTATTTCCCTCCGGTAGAAAAACTGAAGAATTTGTGAAAAACATTTAGAGAAAATATGAAAAAGAAAACCTCTTCATCTGGCTTTATCTCCCTCTGGAATGTGTTTTTCATTCTGCAGCAGAATGAATGACAGAGGACGACGAGGGATCCGAATTCAGGGGCAGCAATACTGTAAAAGGACCTAAATCAACAGATCCAACATTGTTGCGCAAGTTTTTTCTGTTATTACTTTCACCCTAAAAGTGATGCTGCCTTGGTCTAAAAAAAGATATTTCACGGACTGCACACACGCAGACTGCCGGCACACAAACACACAGCCCCATTTGCCTTGCCCCTGCTCTCAGCGGGACCTCATGGCAAGATCAAAGGCATGCCAAACAGTAGTCTGAAAGTGAGCGTGCTCCACATGGCCTTGTTGTGTCTGGCCTGCTAAAGCCTGGTCAGAGGAGCGGGCCGGGGGGAATTCCTTCTCTGCTTGACTGCAGACACAGACAGTGTTCTTGTGTGAGAGTGTGAAGTGACACTACATGGGCTCCTCCACTGATACGTGGATGTGCGATATTTTGTTTTGGAGACACTGAAATCTAATAGAACCGTTATTAGAAAGAGGTCCTCTTTCCCGCATCTCCATTTCAGAAGTAATAAGATTCACACCATATTGAGGCGGGGAGAAAACAGTGTGTTTGGAAATATTGGACCAGCTGCAGGAATTAAAACAAAATGTGCAGATGGAGGGGACGAAAAAAGAACAAAAGTGAAGGATGTCATGTGTGCGAGGGAGATTCTTGAAAGGGAAAGAATGCAAGAAATGTGGCTCCTTACCAGCACGATAAACAAAGTTGGCCTCGGCCTCGGAGGAGGACGGCGAGAGCAGCTCGTCGTCGTACTCGTTGGAGCTGAAGGAGCCGGAGTGGTTCCTCTTGCGGGCGTCCATGACGGCGTTGGCAACCATGACGTGGCGCAGAGAGTCGTTCAGGTAGCGGTGCAGCAGGCTGCTCTTGTACTTGGGTGGAGACACGTAGTCCTCTGTCATTGAGGCGGCAGAGCGCAGGCCCGCTCCCATGCCCATGCCCATGCCCATACTCATACCCATGCCCATACCCATGGCCATGCCCATACTCATATTCATACCCATGCCCATGCCCATGCCCATGCCCACCATGGAGGACCCCTCCTTCTTGATCACGCCCGGGTACATGGGCTTGTTGAGCTCCTCAGGGCTGCTCTGTGTCCTCTGAGGATTGTCACCATCTACGCCAGCATGGGGAAAATCAGAAGAAATACATTTAAATGCGTTGCAGAATTACATTTTCCAAGCAGGGCATCATGTTTTTACTCAATCAGATCATATTGCTTTGCATAGTTCTTCCTATTTTTAACCTTTTTACCTCACCTTGAACTCCTGTGTTTTCCTTAAATGTTCAGATCTTATAGATTTATGTTATCTCTTTTACAGATTTGTATTTATTTTGAATGAAATCATGTGTTATTCTTGGTAGAAGGGTAAAACAAATGTTTATTCATGATGAAAAAGAATGTCTTAATATGTTAAAGCAGTCTCTATAAATATATTATATTTTTATATTCTATAATTTTCATTATTGCACTGATTAAATTAGCTAATGTGGATGACAGTTTATAGTTATGTAATGCATTAAAAAAGAATAGAGGCCCATTTAGTGCCATTGTATTTATAACACAGCCCCTACTGCTGTTTAAAGAAATATATTTTACGCACACTGCAAATACATTAAGTTTAATATGTGACAAATGACTATAACATCCACAAATCATGCCAAATCATCATCCGAGCAATCCGATATTTCTTCAGCAAATGCTTCTCCAGGTAAAGTCTAACTCAATTCTGTGCATTGAATGTACAGTACATCCCCACTGACTCACGGTCTGGTTATTCTGAGCTAATCTTGAATCTAAATAGCAGCGCAGGGAGATTTTAACCTGGCGCTCCTGCCCTGCTTTTGGCATCACCTCAAGAGCAGAAAGCCCAGCGAGACTTTGGACGCATTACCAGAGCATAACGGATGGTAGCCTATTTCCTCTCCATCAAGACCACATTGCCCCTCTATTCCCCTGCAGAAATAAATAATTTCCAGGGAGCTCTGTGGCAGAAAAGATTGAATTAGAGCGAAGTTCTCTACCTGATGAAAGAAACTGAGTGGGAAGGATATCTGAAAAACCAGATATCCTCTGGCAGGGGGGAAATCAGGGAGAAGTTCACTCGAGATACTGGCCCTGCCAAGACTGTAATTTTGTAATTTAGGCAGGTTGGACTTTTTGATTCAGCCTGGGCCAAATTAAAATTATAGCTCCCACTTATCAGAAACACATGGAGGTAACATACTTGCTCTTTTTCCCTTGTGTATTTGAGGTAGAATTCAGGGAGTGCATCAGCCTCTCTTCTGAAACCACAAACGCTATAATAAATCTAATCATTATAATCCCATAAGAGTGTCCTTTTACCTCTAGGTCATCCACCTTTTTTTAAATAAAACTTCCTTTTAAACACCTACATGACATGCAGGGAAACAGCATTTTTCTCTCTGCAAAACAAGCTGGACCATTTAGGGACAGTAAGAGGAATGTACGCCGAGTCAGAGGGGTCAGGTCTGGTCCCATAAATAGCCTCTGGAACAAAAGCATAGGCTTAAAAACATAATGGAGGGCTTTTTAGCGCAAGGGTTAGAAGTGGGAGCAGGCTGTGGAAAGCTTCATAACCATAATGTGACAGGGAGAAGAGTCCGGGAGATATACAGAGCCTCCGGTGGTACAGTGGCCTGTGGCGGACACAATGCAAGCACCATGCACACATTCCTGTTCCAGCCACACGCTTCAGCCTCTCCTCCTCAAAAATCTAATTAGAGATCACCGACACCACAGTGCTCTTCCTTTCTGTTCATTCTCTCTGAGTGAGTTATGTGTGTTTTATATTTTTTTGTTTCCCTAGCATGTGTTCAGTGCTGTCAGCGAGTAGAAAGAGGCAGTTGCTGTAAATACAAGGCTGACGGAGAGCTACTCATTTTCTGGGACATGGGTTGGCTCAGCGGGGTGTTTTAATGACAGCGTGCCGCAGCCCGCCGGCCTCGGCGTCTCTCGGGTGGGTCACACACTCGCCATTTATATACACGCAGAACATGGCCCTGCATAGCATCCGCTGCTTTAGGGTCAGGCACAGAGGGACATTGCATGGCCTTGGGCTTCATTTCATGTCATAATGCAAGATTTGAATTTCAGGGGCAGAAGAAGTATGATGTAAGGGGATTATCCTGTTCGCTCTGGACAAAGAACATTAGGTTCAAACAAGGTTAAGTTATAACTGAGTTTTCATGTGATATATTATGATGTGACGTCAGTAATAATAATAATAATAAATGGGATTTATATAGCGCTTTCTAGACCCAAAGACGCTTTAGCAAAGTAATGCAAAGATTTCCACCATGATCATAGAAGGTCAAACCCTGCCAATAATACATATTAAAGGGGACACATCATGCTCATATTCAGGTTGATTTTTGTATTTTGGGTTTATATTAAAACAAGCTTACATGCTTTTATGTTAATGAAACTAATTATTTCTCCAATACTGTCACCAGAATGTACCTGTATTCTCCCACGCTCCATTTTAGCTCCTGCTTTTTAAACCCCCATCCTGATATTGTTATGAAATGGGAAGAAGTGCCAAATGAAAAACGCTTGTCGGAATCCTGTTTTATTATTTAGACAGCCCAGAAAAAAATCTGAGTTAGTTAACATTTTGCGGCTTGGTACGCAGTCCAAATACGAAAATGTAGCAATAAAAAAAGTGAGTTATTCAAAGTATGTCCGTTTTTAAGTGATTCAAATTCAAATGTAGCTTAGTGGATTGATTAAATAAAAGAAAACTGAGGAATAACCCTAAACTTACTTGATTGCAAATACAACCAACAACAGCTAAATAAGTCAAGGGTCACAGACTTATCTCAAAACATATGTTTATGTGCCTGAAAATAAAGGAGAAGTATTCAGGAAATAATGATAATAATGAAAGGGCAGTTACCCATTTTTAGCCGCCCCTTTTAACTTGGAATGGAACTTGGAAGAGAGAAGGACTTGGCTTATTTGAAGCTAATGTACTGCAGGATTCTGGCTGTTCTGGGTTTATATCCACATGGTTGATTGCGCTTATTGTAAAAAAGCTCGCGATAAAAGCTTAAATTAAATGTAATGTGATTTTGGATGCAGTCGAGGCGTACCGTCTGAGCAGCTGTCCTCGCTGCTGACGCTCAGCCTCTCCGCATTGCCCTGGACATATTTGTTGTAGAGTTTGATCCTCAGCGCCCAGCTCAGGTCTGGCTGCCTCACCGTGTTCTTCAGTCGCCTCCTGGCATTCGCAAACCAGTTGGATACCTGAGAGAAAAGAGCAATAGGAATGAGGGAAGCAAATAACATGTATTACTTTAGGATTCCAAACAGCTCTACTTCCCTTCCAAGACGTCTGCTCTCTGCCTCTTTAGTCTCATTGAGATAAACCAAGAGACACAGAAGCAGAGTCAGGTTGCAGAGCAGCCCTAAGGAACATCCCAGACACTTCACAGAGACACCCCAGCATGCATCTTCACTATATCAACGCCATGTTGAAACATTAAACACCCTCCAAACGCTGAAGGGCCAGTGAACGCAACGTTTCATTAACCAATGTTCCGACCGAGATGAACGTCTCCCGTGCTTATTCTGGACTCCCAGCCTCCTTCCAATAATACATTTTTTTCCAACAGTGTCTTCAAGATGCAATAAAAAAGACACTCGAGCCGGCGCTCTTCCTTGCCCTGGGAAGGCAGACCATTAGATGTTATACTAGAATAACTTTTCATGCTCAATAGACTTCAAGCGGCTTATGAAGGGGCTGGGACAGGGGCCTTATGCTAGAGTACTTATTTTTCTGATCCCCTCTTCCAGTATCGTGTTTCTCGTTAACTAAGACCATCCCACATCCTTTTGTCTCGAGCCCAGTGCTGTGGCACTCCAGGGGGAAGGCGGCATCTAGTACATGTGGCTCCGCCGGAGGGGGGGCGAGGTGAGACGAGGCGAGGCGTGGGACGGCTCGCTAATGAGGGCTGGAGGGAAGATGGCTGTCAATGGGGTGGGAGAAAAGACATGGGATGGGATGGCACGCCTGCTCAGATGACACCCAAATAGATTAAAAAAAGGGGGAGCCAAACCAGCTCTCTCACCCGTGGCCTGTCTGAACTGTACGCACCGTCGATCAGACAGCATGCAGGCACGGCGAGGGATTTGAACAATGATGGAGAGATGGCACTGTTATATTAGTACAAACTTTAAAGAAATAATTTACAATGTTTACATGGAAAAAAGGGGCTGTTTTGCTAAAACATGACAGATTTAGTTGCTTAAAACACCTGGTGCCAGGTTGGTGTTTCCAGGGGAAAATGCACAGGAAGTGATGCGTTCTCCATTGCTGGCAGCGGTGGGTTGATTGGACCAAACAGTGGAAGAAATGGGCATTTTTTAGGTTCCATGAACAAATAGGCAGGGAAAAGAGGCCTCTGGGGGCGGCAACTAATAATAATAAAAAATGTAAAGATTTTTGATTAATTATTCCAATAATCCATCAATTGTTTACTTAAAAATGAAAACACCCAGCACATTAAGATCATGTCTTTATATTCATAGTTTTTTTCGTCACCATAATACCTATATTCCATTTACATGTCATTTATAATTGCATATTCAATATTCTTACCATTCTCATGTTGGAGAAACAGAATTAAAAACATTTTGTTTGATAACTTAGGTGATAAATAAAATTGTAGATATCACTTTTCTGTCGATCAACTATTCAATAAATTGACCAAATAATCTCAGCAGACTAACCACATCAGTAAAAGATCGAAGGGTCAAATAATGTAAGATGTAAGAAATTCAAAACAAACATACGCACAGAAAAGGAAGAACCCCCGCGTTGGAAAATGTGTTGAAAATCATTCACATGCCTGTCATCGGGCTCATCCCCCGACCTTTGACACGGCTGCTGGTATTTGGGTGTCAGCTTTAAACGTGTGCGTGTGTTCGCTGCACAGCATCCCGGTGTCCAATACAAAGCATTCCTCTGCACTCTGCTCGCCCTCACCAAAACAAACAGCTCCATCAGGCTCCCCCAAAATGAGAACCAGATTAAGCATTGTGGCCGGCGGCCCGAAAAGCCGCCGCAGACTTTGTGAGGCCGTATCAGTGACCTTGTCAGCCAGATGATACTGTACACACACAGCTGCAAGCGCCAGACACCAAACACACTCATACCCACCGGCTTTTCCTCTCAGTGGTCAGTTGCTAAAGTCTGGTAGTCCACTGTACTCTTGTATTATCAGTAGAGGGTGCAATAGCATATGAGAAACATACAGTAATAATACTACAGTATTACTACATCTAGACCTGGGGATCCTAAGCAGCAGCTTGGGGCTATCAATGGGCTCAAGGATAAATAGGAGATAAACCAAAGAAGAGGACTGAAGATATCAATATTCTGTATTTGTTCCTACTATGTTTATATTATACATTCCTCACCTGTTCATGCCAATAAAATGTACGATACAATAAATAAAACCACTTTTTTTGGATGATTGACAAGACTAATAAAAAGGAGGTCTCATAAATCGAAAATATTGGACACCTCCGACTCATATAACTTCAAATATTAGTCACACTCACTTTGTCACATTTGAGTGAAATTAAAAAGAATTTTCCAAATGTAGCTCTTGGAAGAAAGTAGAAATAAGGTCATTACATACTGTAAAAATAAACAGCCCACTACTCACAGCCTCCTTATTACAAATGCAAGTCAAAATCCAAATTTCAGACCTAATTAGACCCAAACTCCACCACATAAATCAAAGTTCACTTTTTTCCCCTCACTGATCACACGCATGGCTGCATTCTATTTTTTCTTTATTTGCTACATGACTAGTATGATAAGAAGCAGAAAGGAGACTCACCTGAACCAGGGTCATTTGCGAGCCGAGGGCCAGCAGGATTTTCTCCGTCTTGGTGGGGTAGGGGTTGTCTCGGTGCTTGTAGAGCCACTGCTTGAGCGGCCGCGCCATATCCTGCAGGGCCTGACGCTTGTGTCGCACTTTACCGCCACCGGGACGACCCCTTTGGAGGAGCAGGTAGAAAGAAAAGGTCAGCCAAATACCACACTTAATAATGAGGTATATGTACATCTACAAATATAACCTATAAGCCGTGCATATCTGAATTTTGGGGTTTGAAATCTAAACCTGGACACTTCTTTTTTTGTCCAGCACAATTATTATAATTTTTTTATAATGTTACTTTAATTTTATTTAGAATCTGCCAACAAATAACGCAGGATTTTGTCTCGCTTCAAGACGGAGGATTTGACATTCTGCATTTATTAGAAACATCATGTGTTCATTATATCAGATAAAATGTTGGAGAAAAGCCTAGATTTGTATTTATCAATTCAAAAATGTGAGTTGTATCTGGTTTTAAGTAATACAAACAAACAGGATTATGTTTTTGTTACTCTGTTGTGATGCTTAAAGTGGAGTCCTGCATGTTAGTCATGACACATATGCGAACAACACTCTATAAAGTATGCAATTTTCTCACCCAAAGCACTGCAATTAAAGTAAGAAAGGTTGGATTAAAAGTAAGAAAGACATAGCAAAAGACAGAAGGAGGCTGAAGCAGACAGAAGCAGAAAGAGAGAGGTACACGCAGACAATCACAGTTTATTTTTCTTTGCGTGTCCCACAAACCACCAGCACATTGCTATAAAACAAACAAAAACTTTTTGCTCAGACGCATACGTTTTTTTGCCAGATTAACATTTCACACCCAAGGAGAAGTGGACCAAGAACAATGTAGCCGGGTCACATTCACAGCCGGGTCCAATTCACAGCCAAGCCACCACACAAGGGACTGACAAAAAAATCTTGAAATTATACTTCTGGTTTTCTTTTACGAAAAAAGGGCTATGACACATGTCCTGAGGATGCTATAAAAACATCACAGTAGGAATATATATGTTGGAAAAATAACTCATTTTCAGTCCAAACAGTTCTCCTATCCAAACTTTTTTTTTACTTTTAGAAATATATAAGTTCAAAATCAGTCACTCAGTGGTGAGTAAAGCCAATAAAATGCACTTTAAAAAATATTGTAGTGATAGTATACAAGATTTTTTTTTTAAATCAGTGTGAATGTCTTATTCAGCAACACTGATTGGATAATTTCTTAAAGGATATTAACATTTTTTTCGTCTTGAGCAGCCTGATGGTCCTGGTGTGTGAAGGCTCACCTTCCCCCAGGTTTTATGAACCTGTAGATGTCAGTATGGTGCTGTGCTCCGCTTCTCCCTTTATCTCACCAAAAAGCTCCACTGACTGCAGATGTAACATATTTGAGTCTAACCTCAAGTCTGCCTCATGTTCTACAAATATTTTCCTTGTAATCTAGATCAGTAAGAACATCCGTAAGGACATTTCGCTCCGTGTTCTGAACTAAACAGTAAAACACACGCACACACACCTCTGTTTAATAATTTAATTGTTCTTCGTTAACACTGATGCTTCCCTAGAGGTGACGTCTCACAATCACATCAGCTCATAACATTGTTTCTTATTATTGATGGTTAGTCCTTGAGGAGGATTATGAAGCTGTCCTTCTGCTCTCTATGACACATTGACCCAATAAACATGCATATAATAGGCAACTAATAACAGAGTGACGTGATATTTTTCTTACACCTGCTCCCAGTCACATAGAGGGAAAATAAAATATATGATTTAAAGAAAAAATACTTGGCTCCTGTGTGATTGACTAGACCACACAGAGAGTTAAAGGGCACATTTATTTATTGGAAACAGATGTATACTATGAGACCCACTACTGAACACGGCTGACCTACTTATTAATTTCCAGATTAGCTGTGAACATCAACACCTAAATGAGGACCAGATTGGAAAAACGGTAAATATGAATTCCCTGAGCCATCAGATCCTGTTGCACTAAACCACAAATAAAAAACATCCGGACTCTATAATTAAATTGGAGTTTCAAATTTGAGATGCAGATAAGTTAGTAGTTGCAGTTGTAGATCGTAAAAAAGAACTTGGTATTTTATAGGTGCTAATTTGTATGCGTAAATGCGCAATTCAACAGGAGTTATTTTATTAATCCGAAATTGAATAAATAGAAACTCAAGGAGTATTATCCACATACATAGAGCACCAATGTAATTCTTAAGACTTTTTACCGAACACGTTTTTGAGCTTGATCTTTTTTACCCGTCTTAATTATGCATCACGTTAGAACCTCACAGAACTTTGATAACGAAAATCATATTTGTACGCCACTTATGTGCTGTAACTGATACTGCTATGCTGAGTGGAATACCCGAGGTATTCTTCATCAGTAAACCCGGACATGTCAACAAAGTCTCATATTAAACGCAGCAGAATGCTCCACATACCCGTTCCGCCTGTGTCTGATGGCCTGGTTGTCTCTGATGCCGTGGTTGCTGGAGAGGAGGTCTGGATGTTGCCCCTCGATCACTTCTAGATAATTTCTGCTGCTCATTTCCACCTCTTTCGCCTTCTCCTCAAACAGGACCTGGCTGCTCAGCTTGTTAAACACAATGGTGTTCATCTTTGGCCAGATATGTCCACGATTTATTAAAAAATTAAAACAAAAATCTCCCCTGGTTTGTCAGTGTCCCCGTGTCTCTCCTGTGGAACAAGAGTGGATATTTTACAAACGAAGTGTAAACCTAACAACCGTGATGCAATCGTAAACTAAAATATAACTTTTGCTTGCTGAAAAACAAAAAAGAAGTATATTTCTCCTGGAAAACACACATTTCTCTGATACATTCTGATCCTTCTCTGGTGTGTGATAAAGTTGACCTCCACTATGTGTCTGCTCATACAAACACACTGAATGAAGCAGCCTGCAGACAGTCTTAAACTGAGGCGGGCCGTGCGTAACGGCGCTGTTGTGATGCGTCATTATAAGGTCGCTCTTTGTAAACATTTGCGACTGCAAGTGCCATGCATAAAAAGCTTCTTGTAACGCATACACAATAGAAATAATTGCACGTAGTTGGGTGTGCACTAAATGTTACAAATAGATTTGAAAAAGAGAAATCCAAAGAGGGAATATAAGTGTTATCAGTGGAGACAGCTGCTCCATGATAATATATTTGGCTAATGAGTGCGAAAAATGCCTATTAAAACGCCTTTTCAATCTCCAACTCAGATTAAAACCTGAAGTAACACAATTCTACTCAATTCTATTTTGCATATTTTCAACAAACATCTTGTGAGAACATATAATTTACTTCAGTGAAACTAAGGTAGCCTTCAGACTGGGTGGTTAGGCTTGTCAAATCTTGATTTGGGTTTTTTTTTTAAAGTGCTTTTTAACTCCAAGCATGTTGAATATTGCTGCCATGTCTCCTCTGCTCTGCGGTGGCATGTCACTACAAATCCTGCATGATTTATTTTTGGTCGGTGCTCTCACTTTTAAATGCAAAACAAACAATTCTGCAGGCTGCAGAAATGTGAAATTGTGTTTTCCTCTTCACTTTCAATTTGGAATTCCTCTGTGCAAGTTGAATATTGCATGTGTCACCGGGATAGATGCGGTGCCACCAATAGCAGCCAATATAGAGTGATACAAAAACATAATACTGGCAGTGAAATTTTAATAAATGTTTAAATTATGTTTTAAATCTAGGCTTTATTTCAAACTATATGTCATAATAAAACAGCACTTCCATTCAAAGTTGGTAAAGTTTAGGTGCGCTTATCCCTCCATCATGGTTCCAAATCTTGATATATATTCCTAAAACTGTGTGTGTAAGTGTATCTGGGTTAGTTACCTGTCCCGGGCCCTCCTGCGTGTAGAACAATAATCCTGTTTCCAGTCGCCCATTCCCTGCTCACATGTTCCCGTCCTGAGATCCTGAGCTCAAACCACACGGACCGCCGTCTCCTGCTCGGCTTTATCCAGCGACCTGCTCCATACCACCCCGGACTCTGAATATCTCACTCTGCTCATGTTTCCTAGTACACAGCCCGAGCCTGCGAACATACTGTGGATGCTTTACGCCGATTCTGGGGCCGGGGCCAGCGCAGGGAGAGAGAGGGAGGGAGAGAGAGGGAGAGGGAGGGAGGCATCACGCTGCAAAAAGTAGCTGTCTAAAATCACTGCATCCCTGGTGGAGTCTGAAAGTGTCACTTTTCTTGAAGCAAATGTATCCAACTGACATGGGAAAACATCTTCCTCTCCCAATGCTAATGCAGTCTTCGGGAAAAATAAGTACATTTCCATCATCATATATCTTTTGTTTCCTGTTTTTGAAACACTTAATAACTAATTGCTTTATCAATGGTTAATATAACAATTAACCTCGGAATTATTTGAATGTAAGAAATGCTAGCATCGAGCTAGCTTAGTTTAGCATAACAAAATCCACCAACCAGCACTTCTGAAGCTTACTTATTAACACGTTATATTTGTATTGGGAGTCTGTATACAAATAGTAAAAAACAAAACTTCCATTTGTGTAAAAATGACAGTTTTAAAGTTGTGTTACCAAGCAACCAGTAGACCTGGATAATTTACCATAAAAAGGCAAATATCCAAATAAGTAGGCTAAATGTGCAATTTATCAAATGTCAAGAAACCATTGACATGCAGTAAATTAACTTTTGGAGCCACTTTGTGTCTTTGATTTGAATGCTTTCCCAACTTTCTTATTGAGCCTTGGGGCTGAATTGTCAAAAAATGCCATAAAGTTAAACAAATTACCATAGTTTGGAATTTGGGACTCTGCATACAGAGGAAAGTCTTCAGATTTTGTAACCGAGCCACTTGGTGAAAGCGACATTTTTTACAGCCCCTACACTGTGCATGGAGTTAAACCTATTACGAACTGTCTGCTGCAGGCATACTTTACAGTGCAGTAAACCTGTTTTGGATGCTTGTAAAGACTGTATAACATTTCTCTACTGAAGATCACACCTTGGTCCTAAATGATCCCAGTGCCCAAAACGATGGGTGCAGGATCAAAGAAATATCCAGCAGTTAAAAAAGATACATTTGGCACACAAATAGCTCCAATTGGAAGGATTTAAATAGTCAAGCTCTCCCATTAGTTTTTAGAAGACCTTATGAGTAACCTTTTTTTAGAAGAGTTTCTCAAAGCTTCCTTAGGCAATATCAGTGCTTTTGCTGCAACGATAATTATTCCACCAGATTCCAACAAAAAACAATCCCAGCTGCTTTTAGTAACTTTTGGCAAAAAAGAGAGATTCTTACTGTATATAGCCATGCCACGGCCGATTACTCCTGATGCACCCTCTCATTGACTTCCATTATAAAAGCTGTCACATTATGGGCCCATGACTCATGGCTTCTGAGGCCCTCAGCTGTGTGTTCCCTTGGGGTTTATCCAAAGTAGTGGTTCGAAGGACGTGACTAAGCAGCAAGAGCCATATGAAGGGTTAGGGATCCATGTAATTATTGTTTATTTGTGCTTATTTTCATTTAATGGGGGAAGTTTACTTTTACTAACAGCTTGTGCAAACATCCAATGAATGACCCAGTCATTTAATCACTTTAATTAAGTCTGGGGAAAGTTTATTTTCTCAGGTTCGACACAATATGTATGTTTTTCTTGTCGCCTGAAGGGAACTTCTGTTACAGTACCTCCTGTGACCCTGTCGCTGTTTTCTAAACCTGTTGATAAGAGCGACCGTCTCTAGGGATGGGGAAATATGGGCTTGTCACAAGCATCTCTTTTATCTTAATTCACCATCTATGTAGCCTCTGCTTTGGCTCACTATATCTCTGTTTCAGACTCCTGCCTTTTGTCCAGTGTGGGCGTACAAAACGATTCAACAGGTAGGAGCACGACATTAATCATGATGTCCTGCTTGGGAGGGGTTGGTGGCAGGAACTCTGCAGGCGTCTCTTGTACACAGCTCTGTTTCATCTCAAGCTAGAGTTCCTGAATTACACTGGCATCTGCTTTCTTTGTCATCTAATCTTTGTCACTCTGCTAGCCACTTGGATTTGACCAATAATGTTTTTGAAAGACTGGCACCAAATCCAATAGACCAATATTTGTAGTCTGAAGTTTCAGACAGCTGAAACATTGTGCAGATATTGGCAATTTGTGCTCATATGATACAGGAGCTCAGAAAAGCATTCCTGTAATGGTTAAAAATAGACTTTCATGTGAAACCTGACTGTTTCTATTACCTGTTACATGGTGCATGGAACTCTGGGACACGTCACCCCTCTAAAGTTAAATTCATAAATATTCGAGTTTATGTTGCACAATGTTTTTAACATTAAGTCAGTTGCCCTGTTGTACGGAGTAGCTACAATTCAGCCTGTGAAAACAGTTACAAAATGTTGTTTGTGGCCCTGAAGGAGCTTTGTCAAGTCAATCGTGATGATGTCATATTGATGTCATTGGGTTTGTCCTGTCTTGGAATTGAATTTATAACAGAAAGCCAGTCAGTCAGCAAGTTTGAAAGCTTGGTTGCAAACAGGGAAAAGTCTATTCAAGGGTCACAGTTGTCCTATCGATTCCTATCTCATTGCATTAAACCATAACTTTTTGCGGTCTCTCTGGCTCTCTTTTCCCTCAAAGGTCTGGACTGTCAACGCTGGTTGCTATTGGTCAACATTGCCAATTTATGTTGTACTGGGGATAACTATGCGGAGGTAGAAACAATGGGTGTACAGGATAGTCGGTGGCAAGCTTGAAGCATGGCCAATCCAATGCTTACAATGCAGGTGTTTTGGATGTGTACAGGAAATCCAGGTATGCACTCTGGAGGATCCCCAAGGTCTACATCAGTGAGGTTCTGACCTGAAATCGCCCACCAACTGCATCATGAAGAATGCAAGACTGCAGATCTTCCTTATCACCACACCAGGGTAAGTAGGTTACAACATGGACTCCGGGATAACTTCTGCAGGTGTACCACTAAGAGTATACTGACTGGCTGCATCAAGGTCTGGTTTGTGCCATAAGGCTGTACAGAGGGGGGTGAAAACATCCCAGCACATCACCAGGATGGACCTACCATCAATGGAGGACCATTACATGCAGCGATGCTGGAAGAAAGCCAAAGGGATTATCAAAGACCCCAATTACCCCGGCCAGAAACTTGTCTGCCTGTTGCCGTCTGGCAGATGTTACCGCAGCAACCGGTCCTTCACAACCAAATTCAGGGATAGCTTGACCCACAGGCCATAGGACTTCTGAACTCTGAGCTCACCACTGTTGTTACTGTACCTATAAACCTTCACATTGCCCTTGTATACTTTACACCTCTATATATATATATAATTAATAACTTCTTATCATGCAAATACATACACTATGTTTGCACTAACTGTATGTATGTCTGAAACGTTCCACACTTTGTATAACTTTTATTAATATCTATTGACGTTAACATTTACTTTGTTTGTTCCTTGTTTATTAAGCATTGTTGGCAGGTACCTAAAGTCTAAAATTGCATTGCCAGTAACTGCTTCTCTTTCTCTGTTATTGTTAAACACATGAAAACAATAAAGAACTTTACATTTGAAATGCTGGTTTGACTGGGCCATCATTTTTCTATCTTTTGCCATTTGCTGTCTCCAAATACAATACATACAAAGCCATTTTCCAACACATCCATATACTGATTAATATCAGATATCTTGTACTCGGTATGCCAACATATGGACCTTTGTTTACATACAAAACAGGAACGGAAACCTGAGTTTAACGTTACCCTACCTCCTTAAACCAAAATGTCTTAATTGAAATGCTGTACGTAAGTGTATTTTTGGGAACTGGTTCTACAGTAAAGCTCCGTTCTTACATCCAACCTCTGTACATGTTTTATGTACATATGCCATTGAGTCTTGTATTGTTTTATATCACATCTACTGGAGTTTGTTTGTATGTGGGCTTGGTCTGGCCTGCCAGAGTGTGGTTGGACTGAAAGTTTTATTTCCTTGCACTCGTAACTTTTGTTTTCTCCCTTAAATTCCAATTTAATTCTGATTCCTTCAGAAGACACACCGCGTACTGAGCAAATCAAATGTTCCTGTTTTGAAAAAAAACACAGTATTGTAAACAGGCATTAGAAGAGCCACATCGTACTGCCACAAATGGAAATCACTGAATGCTAAATTGAAAAGCAGACATTCATTATACATCATGGATCCAGCAGAGAACACCCTGTTATTGCCTTGGGGTACTCCATCATTCAACGTGTATTAAAGGATCTGGCTATGAAAGGTGGCTATTACTTGAAATCAGCCTTAGCTCAATGTCAACACCTTACGCCATTACAATCCAAATTATTTTTTAAAACCCCAGTCTCTGCACCCACAATCTTCCCCCCCTCCTTTAAGACGATGTTTTCACTCCAGACTTGGACTTAATTTCGCCGTGTAAACCAAGTTGGAATTACATGCTTTAGCACACGGACTACTTGCAAAGCCACAGACATATTTGTTCCACAGTTTGCCAACTTTGGTGGAAAATGTGACCGAAGAGAAAATTAGCAGGTTGTCTAAAATGACCCAATTACTGTTTTCAGGGGGGTTTTAAACATTTTGGACACTAATAAGCAATCTGTGCTGTCTGTCTGTCCATGTCTACTAAAAGTAATCAAGTGATAAAACCAAGTGTCATTAGAAGTCACTCAAATTGCTCCCTGAAATTACAGTACAAAATAATTACAACTTGGAACACCCAATGCTCTTTTAACCGTCCCGTCCTCTGTTGTCTCTCTAAAAATGGCTATCCAAGAATACACAAATGGCTACTATGGAGGCACATACTACTTCATAGGGAGGAGATGCCAATTCAGTATGCAGTGTGCATGAAGGCGATGGATACATCTGTCAGAAAACAAGCTTTCATCGTGGACCGGACTCTC